TTAGCTCAGCCACTCCTTATTATCCGCGTTTCCAAGGGAGCCATTCGTAGGATTTATCGTAATGTACCTGTGAGCCAGTGTCCAAACGCTGCAGTCCAAAAGGTCCAAACGTTAATGGGAGGCATGGGACAATAGGCTTTGTAGCGTGTGGGAAAAATGGTTCGTCATGTCCCTGATAGCAGGAGAGCCCCCACTGACCCTAAGCATCAACAATGGAGAAAGTTTTATCCTAACAACTCCTTGAGGCAGCTGGGATGTCTCTGTTTGACAGATACACAAACACACATACACACAACACTGAAATTTGGGTTCTGTGCAGAAAACATGTCAAATTTAAAAGTACACAGTTACTGTTTTAAGGTCATATGAAGTAGATAAAACCATTCAGAATTAGATTATCTTAGAGATGTCCACTCCCCCTCTGACCTCTGAACAATACGTTTTCACCATGTCCATATGGGCAGACAAACAACGCAGGTCAAGTGATATCCATTCATGCAGTTTACTTTGCTGAGGGTACCAAGGGCAGGACATGCACAGAAAGAGACAGTTAAGTGACTGCAGTGAGAGAGATGTTTTATTAAAACCCAAGTGGTCAGCTAGTGCTGTTTAACAGTACAGTTACTATATAATACATTTACTCTATCATTTGTATGATATCAGATTTAAAATAATTGAGATCTTTGTTTAAAATATTTTTTAAAGGAAAGATTTTAATGAAGATTTTAATGAAGTAATGGTAAAAAAAAACAACAATCTTTTAAACAAAGATTGAGATCTTTGTTTAAAATATTTTTAAAGGAAAGATCTTAATGAAGTAATGGTAAAAAAAACATACCTAATGATTTAACAGTGGCGCACAATCCTGAACTTACCCATGGTAAAATATAACTCAAGTAAAAGTGATCTATTTAAAGTCCAGTTAAAGTACAACAGTACTTGCTTTTTAAACATACTTAAGTATGAAAAGTCTTATAACAATACAACATTTCTCTTCTTGTGTCTTCAGTTTAAGAAATAGGTAAAGTGAAGACATAAGAAGAGAAATGTTGGATGCATTACTTTTAATCTTTAAGTATATTTTAAAAAAAAGCAAGTACTTCTTGACCCAAACTTGGGTCTCTCGTTGAAATATCTCAAATAGATATCTCATGTAATATAATTTACAGCGTTATGGCATTTTCTTTAGTTTTGAAAACTTGTCAGTGTTGCTGTTACTGTTACTGTCTAGTTAAGCTACTATTGTACATTTGGTATTTTGCAGAAAGTAGTAGAGTACAACACAGCATATTTCTCTGGGAAGTGTAGCCGTGTCAAACTGGACAATTCATATGGTCATTTCCAAAAAAATGGGAAAAACAACTACAAAATAATGCACAAAAACTTGAAAAACATGTACTTTGTACATGCATGTAAGACAGACAGGAATTTAATTCAATCCGAAAATCCAAACTCCCCTCCTGGCTCTTCCCAAGCAAAATGACCAATTGTAATGAAATGAAATATGGAAATACACAGCAAAATTAAAATATTCCAATTAATTAGTATTACAAACACTAAATATTTTGCTGTATATGACAAGAAGATTCAGTACACCATTTTAAAGAATTAACTCTCAGACTGATTATTCATTTAATTACTTCTACATAATCAGACGTCATAGCACCATAATGCTATTATTGTAAAACTTTATCTTGTCCTCATATAGTAGATTAGTGCTCAGATTAATGCATACAGAAATAATGAGTATTCATTACCTCAAAAAGAAATTACTGATCAAGTCTATTCTGTCAACATTAGTGAACAGACAACTTCAATCAGTGGGACATTACAGGCTCTGAAAAGCCTCAAAGAGTTGCAAGTGCGAGGGGGTCTGTTGGTTTTGACTTCAATGGATTAGCCTGTCCATCTATGGGCTGAGAGGCCAGCTGGTCTAGGTCGTTTGCTCATTCAAAGCGGATGGATTACAAGATGGCTGGAGCATTCTGCCCAGCAGTAGGCTGTCCGGCTGCCCTAAAGAGAGGTTAGGGGTTAAATGGCTTGTGTCAGGGGGTCCAAAGCCCATAATGGAAAACAGACCCATCCTCCATTAACTCACAAAACCTTGGAGTTGTTCAACACTCACAGGGACAGCTAACTAGGTGACATGAATTCCACTGAGCGAGAGGTCCCCATTTAAAAGCAATTTGTGGACACTGTTGCATAGTCACATCCCATCATGAACTGAATTTGTTCCTCCTAAAATGTACCATCACACATATTATTCTACAGTTAGAGTTTAGAATACCTGCAGCTTCCTTTCATATGGAGACAATAAACAGCCAAGCTATAGCAGCTTGAAACAAAACCTCCTTCTTCTTCTTCCACTTCCTCAAATTATGACACAAGTATTGGGACATCTACACATTGTGACAAAAGTATTGGGACATCTACACATTGCACCTACAGGAGCTTTTATGACATCCCATTTTAAATCCATAGGCATTCATACAGAGTTGGTTCCCCCTTTGCAGTTATAACAGCTTCCAATCTGCTGGAAAGGCTTTATACAAGATTTTGGAGTGTGGCTGTGGGAATTTTGGCCCATTCATCCAGAAGAGCATTTGTGAGGTCAGGCACTGAAGTCAGGGAAGTAACATTCTCCTGGCATTTGCCAAACCCAGAGTTGTTAGACTGCCAGATAGAGAAGCATGATTTGTCACTCCACAGAATACGTTTCCACTGGTCCAGAGTCCAGTGGCAGCGTGCTTAACACGCGTGCTTTACATGCTTTACACACTCCACCCAACGCTTGGCATTGTGCTCGGTGATGTAAGGCTTACATGCAACAGGGGCAAAAAAGACTGGTAAAGTTGTGAAATGCTTAAAAAATAAAAATACCTAGTGGAACATCTTACAACCAATTAGTTAATTGCCAACAGGTCAGTAACATGATTGGGTATAAAAAAAGAGCAAAAATTTGAGCAGTATTCCTGCAGACCTGCAGCACATTTTCAATGAACAGGGCAAAAATGGCTAATAAAGTTACTATTGGATCAAGCAAGTTTTTACACCAGAAAATCAATGTAAACATGACAATATGAATTATCAGCGCAGTTACAGTGCAGAGCTATGGAGTACTGCTCCCAGTGTGCTTTAAACTGATCCTACATGCAGTCCAAGATGGTCCATATAGCTGGAAGAACACTGAGGGGGGACATCTGTAAATAGAAAGTAGCTAGACTGTGACTGAAATAACATACGCCTATACATTCAAGGGCCACGTACACCTTCAAGGAAAGCAGACTAAAATACTGTGGTTTGTCTATTTGAAAGTCAAGAGTAGGAATGTTCAAAAAAGGAAAAAAAGGTGTATACTATGTTGATTCTAAAATGAAAAAGAACCAGCCAAAAGTGTTTTATTTATTTTTGCTTAAGAGAGGAATGCGACAAGATGTGCACTGATCAAGTCCTATTGATCAAAACATGGATGAAGCAGCAGGATAGGATTAAATGAGAAAAAAAAAACTGTTTGTAATGGCTGCTGGCATAACTCCTGTTCATCCTTACAGTATTAGGCCACTTACTGAACAGAAGGTTATTTAGGCCCCTTTACTCAATCCTGCTGAGCTCTATTGAGACCCTTTGAAAGAAGAAAATAAAGAGAAAAAGAGGCAGGAATATGGGAGATAAGAGTTCCTTTATAGAGACTAACTGGGCAATCGATGGATGCTCGTAATCTCCATTGTGCCTCACAGAGGTATTCGCAGGACAATTAAATCTCTCCTCTAGAGCCCGGCAGCTCTTTGATGAAGCTAGCCCAAGACTTCTAGATTCAAACTGAATGCTGTGAGGTAATCTGATATCACTCAGGAAATGTGTGATCCAAACCCTAAAGATTACAGGTAGAGGCAGTTTTCATTCTAAACTGCATCATGAAAGTAAGGCTGGACAACAGCATGAAATGCTAAAACCAGATTTTCTCAAATCTTTTCAGATTTATATGTGTACATGAAGCATGTGATCACTGGAATACCTGATTTTATAAAACATTCAAATGTTGCTCCTAGAACTAAACATACATGCTTCTTACTGCTCCTTTAATTTAAATGAATGCCACATAGATACAATGAATTTAGGAAGATGACAGCAAACAATTATGAAGTGAAGCAGTAATAAAATGTCATTTTTAATGTAAGTGTTCGCTTTCATGTCAAACGTAGCCTCTGCTACTAGTAGCCAAGGCAGAGATCTTCACGTGTGTGCAGATTTACTGTAAACACTCAGGCTAGATTTTCTAAAGGGCCACATACTGACATCTACTGGGGATACACAGAACAGCATATAACCTTGTTACAGAGGATGTAGATGACCAAGACAAGGTGGTACATTATTTTACTGGGCCACAGACATAGAACACACCCTAAATAGAAAACATTGTTGCAGTATGCATGTACAAAAACAATTTAAGAAAAGAAAGACTAGGCTGGACCTAGATCTGTAGGTTATGTTTATTTTGATAAAAGCCTTGGAGCCTAAATCTGAAAAGAAAAACAGCCAATATAAACATTACACTTCTCCAGATTGAGAAAGCATTTTTCTAACCTTTTTGTTGCAGTAAATCACATAACTATCGAATTCTGACAAGTAGGGATTTGCCCACTTTTTTCTTTGAATATTGTGACCCCACATCCAATGAGACTGGCTGTTCTATAGTAAAAAACTGATCTAAACCCATGCATCATCAAGTCTACTTGTTACAGTTGTAGAATGTAATGTAAACGTTAGTTTCACAGTCCCATTAAGTATTTTTAAAGATATAACTGAAATAATTGTTTTCCCAACTGTTGTCTTTATTCTATGCACATATTTACTATACTTTTATAGTTTTCATTAATCTCCTTATTCTTTCATACTCTTCTATTATTTAGTTTTTTATTTATTCTCCCCCTAGCTATTGTATTTTACATGATTTTGACAAGCAAAATAAGAGAGAATGTCAACAAATGAACAAGACATTCTTCAAAGAAGGGAAATGCATTTGATTTATTTGCATATATTAGAGAGAAATGATTGATATTTTACAAAACAGTAAGCTGTGTGCATGCATATGTGATGACATTTACTCATACTGTCATTACATACTCATCGAAGACATACAAAAATCAAAGACAAAATCAATGATCTTTTCAAACTCATGTTGCTAGCAAAATAATTGTTTTGATACAAAATATCTTTATTTGCACTGTGCTTCCTATATAGCACTGGAATATAAAACTAAATAGTTTTCCAACTGGCTTTAGTATTCGTATGAACAGACAACAAATCCGTCCTATACAGAATATAAAGAATGTCAGCCCTTGTCAGTTACAAAAATCACTTTAGGTTGCAATGCATCATTCATCTACATTTATTGGTGAATAAAGAAGGCTTAAGTTTGTAGGAATCTTTAATCATCAAACATTCCTATTTGATGGTATACAGATTTATCTTAGCTCTTTGGCTAACCATTAGAGTCACTACAACTCATGATCCTATCCTTGCTGAGAGGGTTAATGAGCATGTTCAAATATTATGTATTGCTACATCTTGCAAGCAAAATGAATGTATATTCATGAGAAAAGCCCCAAATCTGGGCCAAGGCCACACTTTGCCAGACACAGAATGCAGGAAAAAGGCACACATTTTTGAGCAGTGAAACACATACACTTTGTATTACTAAAATATGTCTTGGCAATAGCCATTCGTCTTTTAACCTGGGCATATTTAGCGATGGTAGAAACAAAAGAGGGGATCTCTTTAGGAACTCTAAATCTTTACATAGTCTTGTGTTTAAAGAAATTCAAAACTTAAGTTTACTGAGTCATCACATACTGGATTAGCTCACTCGCTTTAGAATTATTTGCACTTCTGAAAACAATAATACTGATTAAATGTGTCTTATTCTTGTGCATAAGTGGCGAAGCACTGCAAGTGACCGCCAGAAAATAAAGCTTTAAAAGTGAAAATGTTCACATTGTTTTCAATACCTTTTGGGAAAGCACATGCATGTGTGTAAGTGCGTGAGTGGTTTCAAAACTTTGAATCTGATCGAAGCAACTGATTCATTTTGCTCAAACAGTTCAAATGATTCAGAATGCGTATCATTAGGATATTCAACTATGTTAAAATCAACTTTCAACCTCTCCATGCCAAAAATTCAATTTGCATTAAAAGAAGCTAACCATTGTGCATGCTGCAGTGATATGCATGTTCTTCTTCTATTTTTCTTTTCAAATTAACTGTTAAGTTTGTCATTACTTACAGAAAATGTGAAGCTGGCATGTCAAATGTGCACACATTCCAATAAGCAAATAGGAAAAATGATAAATTCTAAGTTGCGTGTGTGAAGCCAGCACAACAGGAACTGAACTTTGGTTCCCCATTTGATCTGAATCTACATTCACTGTTACAAATTTCTTCAGCTAATCCTACCATATTCATATGACAGTAGTATATCCAGCTACCAAAAGTATGAAATATTGGGTGTTAATAAGTAGTAGCATTTTTAAAACCTCCCACAGATTAACAATCAATAAACCTGAATGTTCTTCAGAACTAGGCACTTAAGGCGAAAACAAATGTTCTGTTTTCCCAAATGACATTTTACATACGTATTGGTCATATGTAATAAAATACACAGAATTTGGGAACTGTGAATTGGAGAACCACAACAGCCAAACAAAGCCACAAAATCTTTACAGTCTTGCTATAGTATACTATCTGGTAATGCTGGGTCCAGCATACTGGCTTTGAGTCTGCTGAAGAAGCTCTGTGATTGCTAGAAGTTTTTTCAACACATGCTGGAGAGAGAGAGAGAGAGAAAGGAAAAATAAGTACAGCCAACAAAACATCTGAAAAAAAAGCATAGCATGAAAGTGAAATTCATTCATTACATAAACAGCATTAAAAGCTGAGGGTAAAAAGAAACATTTAAATACTGAGTTTTCAATACTTGGTAGACAGAATCAAATACATTGTGCAAATTCATTTTTTATGTAAGCAAAACTATTTGCATTACTTTAATCAGTCCATTATCGATCAGTAACAATTCAGTTGCCAAGTTGTTCTGAAAGCTTTATGAATACATTTGACCCATTTTCACGTTCTGTTTACAGGCAATGGACAGTACCATGACATTTAATCAATTTATATGAGATTTGCTTGCCAAGACATAGCTGCTTAGCAGGCAACCCTCTGTGCTAACAAAGAGCCAAGTTCATTCACGCTTATTAATAATGAAAACACTACAGACCAGCTTCTTTGAATAAACAATTTTCCTAAATAAGTTTCTTGAAAACAATCTGGCATTTATTGAGTATGACATTTCTTGTTTGTTGCATCACAACTTCAGCATCACAACCTGCTCTCCTGTTCAGATTTAACATTAAACAGTACACTATACAAACCATTTTTCCAATGTTTTTGTGATTTTTGTTTCTTTGACATCTCTGTTTCATTTAAAGCCCTGTAAATAAAAATATCTGTAAATAAAAACAGTACCCTTTGAAGCAATTGGCATCATTGGTAAAGATTCGCAAAGAAGATCCTGAAAATTAGTTACTGTTGAATTTTTTTTTCTTTTTTGATAGTGTATAAATCTGGCATGATGCACAAGCCAAACTTATCTGTCAACAAGAGAAAGATCAGCAAACACATAAATGAAATTAGACCCAAGGCTGGCAATATTAAAAAATATCCAATATTAATGCAATAATTAAAAGTTTAAACAAAATAGTTTTAACAGAAGATACTGTTAAATGGTCATGCAGAAAAGGTTTTTCCTCTCTAAGTATGCTGATGAATATTTTACATTACAGAACTTTTTCCTTTCAAGAATTCTGGAAATCTTGCTAACATACATGTAATTATGGACTCCGGAAAAACAGCAAGCCATTTTCTTAAGATTAAAGGCAGTTATTTTGTATCTCCTAGAACACTGATCCAAATCATTCCTTCACTCCTTATGAAAATTGCAATCCTCTAACTTGAGGGTGCCAATAATTCTGCAGGGTAATGTAAATACATTTCTAAGAACATTTGGACAATCTACACAATACAGTATACTAGTTTTGTTCGTACAGGCATTTGGGTGTTCACCAAAAAGTAAAAAAAATAAATAAATAAAAAATCAACTACACTGAAGGAAAAAGTGATTTATGGTGATTCATACTGCTGAACAGTCGATGCGCCATACCTGATGTACACCCCTCTCATTGCTGAGGATACGCAGCTCATCCGAATGGCTCACACAGAGATCATGGAGGGCAGCTAGGTCCCGGGCCAGGTGAGTGCTGAAGTGCTCCGTAGTGGTAGGGAGCTCAGGAACATTCTGAAAAGTTTAAGAATGCAATCATATTTCAGAAAAGAGATATGGAAATCACTTTATCTTTACAGTTTTCACGTTTTTGCAAATTAAATTGATGTTTCCTAAGCATGTCTGAGACCAGAAGAAAGAAAAAAAGAAGATTTTTTAAAGCACAAAGGTAGACAAACCCCTAGCTCGTCCAAAAACATGATCATTCTGTGTTTGTTACTCTTGATGAATGAATTTACTCCCTCCATGTATGGCTCCTAACAGGTAAGGAGGGGAAAAAAAAAAGAAAACACCATGAATCTCAAAAAGCTTAACGTCCAGCAGACAAAGGAAGAAGTATCATCACAGTTTAACTTTACCTTGGTGCCAAATTCCACCAGGTTGGCTAGATTCTGTACTGCTTTGGCTACCAAAGTGAGTGTACGAGAGGCTGTAGGGGAAGGTGGGTCTAAAAAACAGATTTTATGCTGGCCATTTTATTTTTCAAGGCGTTTTGCAGCTTGTGCTTTAGCATGCCTGGCTGAAGGATTTTTAATCAATGTATGAACTTTTTTTGTCATGCTCTCATAAGTTAGGTTAGACTTAGTGTTAGGCAGTATCCCCTTTATTAATTCCAACCGTCTCCAAACATTACTGCATTTTACGGTATTACCAGGGTGTCGGTGGAGGTAGAGGGGTGGGAGAACGGGGAACTTAAGATGCTTTTTGTTGTCTCAGCTAACATTATTTTAAAATAAAAAAAGTAGTTCACTTTACATGGTTAACAAATAAGTGAACACAGTGAAATCAGACATGTTCTGTGGCATATGCAGAGAACCTGTGGTTCTGATACTTGTAGCTGCTTGTCATGGCTGAACTGCTATCATGCTTAGTTTTTCTGAGTTTTCCTTTTTCTGTTAGCGTGACCTACTGTGGAGCTCCCACACCAGCAATCAGTGAGCCCTCTATAATATAAATCGGTGGAATGTGTTTATTTATCCATTCCGACATGGAACAGGAAACTGACTCATCACATTTTTACATATCGTGGTTTACCATGTTACCATCACACCAGCCAACCGCAGTTAAACTTGTCCTATACTATACTGTATTATACACCTTGACTACTTGAAAAGCCAAGCTTCAAGTAAAACAGTAATGCTGCCGTCCGTCCCCTCACTTCTGTCAGTCATCAAATACTCAAAGAGACGTAACAATTTGCATCACAAGAAATGTGTTCATATCCCCCCGCAAGAGGTGAGTGCTGCCCCACAATGTGAATTTGACACTTGTTCAATCCATCTAAGCAAGGTGCATGCTATCTGCCTAAAAGTGTGACAATGTGTGTGACAAAGAAGTGTTACCTCACAAGACTGCTTGCATTCCATAATCTTTAAGATTGTGTCTTTAAGAGCGTGGTGAACAAAAGGAGTTGCCGCAGCTTTCATGTACTGCTCCATAAGAGTGCTGGCCAGGGTCGTGGAACAAAAGAGTGTAGTAGCTTCATCTGGCGGAAAAGGTCAATCATTTTCAAAGGATTTGGTTTCTTTTTCACAGATGCAAAATTCAACATGAACTGCTCAATATTAAGTCATCAGTATGACAAGTACCCTCCATGCTGATTTCCCTGCTGTTAAGTGCCCTTAGCTGGGCTTCAAGTCTCTCATGTCTGAATATCCTGAGTAGAATACTAGCCAGAAAAGTGCGGTCCTGTCCACAGACATTTGCTAATGCATTTATGACATGAAACTCCTTCAGCAGAATCAGCTGTAAACAACAAGAGTAAGAGAGTACATGAAACTGCATTAAAAACATACTTAAAAAGCCTAAGTGGATGCATTATTGTGCTTCAGAAAAAAAAAAAATGACTGATGACCAAAAATGATCAACACTGTAAAGAAAACTCCCTGAATAACTGTTGCTGAAACTTACCACCACTAACACACTTGCAATAAAATACTGTGAACAATAACCAGTGGCTACACACAAACCATGCTATAATGTCAAAATGCTGGAGTAGAAACAAACTCTTTTTTCCCCAAGTTTGGAATCAGGGCTAAGATATTCTTGACATATTACATTGTATTTACAATGCAGAAGTAAAGCGCACCATTCTGCTGTGATCACCCTCCTTGGCACCAGTGTGACACCTATTAGATGAAACATTTTAGTTGATCCCATGAGTACGCAATATTTAAGGTTTCGGTCAAACGGCTGTTTGAGCCTGTGCCACTGTCCAAATAATGTACGATGCTTTGAAATTAATGTATGAGACACTAATGACAACTAGTGTTTGCTCACTTAAAATGTACAAGCTAATATAACCATTTGCATTACCTCTCTGAACTCACTATAAACCACTTCAGGCATGATCTTCTCCATAGAGTACCGTACTCTGACCCGCAGTGAGCCAGCTTCGATACCCTTTAGAGGTACATGTGAGGTCAGAGGAAACCACTCATCAATCATTTGGCCCTTCTGCAATCTAAATAGCTGGCATCGCATGAATACTGCAAAGGAGTCAAAAGTGAGAACTTCCAACAATCATAAAGTAATTATTTACATTTTATTAATGAAAAAATTAAGGTGTGAAAATTAGGCTCCTCACAGAGATCTAAAAGCATTGATGTTCTTTAAGAAAGAGATACAGAACATTAATACAGATAAGTATTGTTTATCACAGGACATTGTGAAATGTCAAGTGAGAAGTGGCACACTAACAGATATCACTCTCTTTGCTCTTTTTCGTCTTATTGCTTAGAGTGATTTCAAATCTGTTGATGTCACCTGACAAGTCACTGAGGGAATAAATTAGAGAAATACAATGCATGTCAGCGACATGTACAAGTTCAGACAGAAAAAAAACGTATTTTACAAAAAATGTACTTGTCTAAACTTAACACTTGGAAGGACAAGACTTACTCAAAGATGAACTCCTCAGTCCAAACAGGGTTCTGGCCCTCTCTGGGATGGGTCTTCGCAACTTGAATACTGTTTAGGTAGACGTTGCAGTAGGCATTTGTAAAATGTTTACTGGGCAGTTTGTGAGCCTCTTCAACATGGAGAAGTAAACTGCTCACCTGAAAGCACAAAAAAAACAGATTAGCAAATACTGTTCACACACAATCAGCAAAATCAATATTTCATCCTCTTGGAATTATAAGGTTCTATCTGACATTTTTGTCAAAATTGAGTTGTTCACATATTCTTACTCTGTGATAACATTATGTGAGGTGTTTTTTTTGAGTTGTATGCATTTTTGGACTCAGACTTATCTAGAAAACAAAAAGGTCCTATCTCAAAAGTCAGACTCTAACATAGTTCTATAAGGTTCTATCTGTGAGCCAATCAGCACTTCAAATACACACGAGAACCAATCAGACTCTGCTTCTTTGTCATGTCGCCGCACTGTTCTGTGACTTTGGGAAAATGAGCACAGGAGTCAAAAATGAGAATGTCATGCAACGCGAAGTTTAAGAGAAACTTCAAGATGGAGGATTTCATTAATATCTCATGAAGGACAACAGTACGAATGACAGGCATGTTAAGTCTTTTTTAATCATTTTAGATCTTGATGAGTTTTATTTTCATTGTTAGCTACCGCGCCAGCCAGGTAACACTAGCTTGCTAATATTAGCCTGCCATCTAAAGCTAACATTAGGAGGCTAGCATTAAAGGATAGGTTTGGGTTTTTGAAGAAGGATCGTTCTAACAGTTACCTCTGTACTAATATATTAATGATTGCAGAATGATTGTAACATTAGATTTTATTGTAGCCTTTAGCTAGTCAATGCTACTAACTTTTTTTGTCTCTTTTTATTTATGTGATGACCCTGATCCCTGACATGGCAAATATGCTTTTTTTTTTCTCTCCAGGCTAGTGACAAAGTAGAGGTAGCAGAAAAACATGAAAACATGTTGCTGAAAATCCTGCTTCCTTGCAGTCCTTTAAAAATTCTAGTCTTAAATTGTATTAATATTAGACCTTAAAGGTAATTAATTAATGAGCATTTGAATTGATTGGTCTTTATTACATTCATCCAGCTTTTTTTCCTTCTTTCTCCCAAAATAAAACATTTTGGCTCATTAGATATAAAACAAATATCTCGTACCGCCTTTAGACTGACCGGCTACACTTACTTGCCGGGACAGTTCATTACAGTAGCTGGTTGCTGTGAAACCTAAAGAAAACTATAACTAATAGTTCCTACCTAAAACTGACCTCTGCACTAAACAAAACATTTAGCAATGACCTTTATACTTCAAGAGCAATGTCAAAAAATAAATTAATAAAAATAAATGTCATAAAAATGCCATAAAGAGGCGTAAAATTTCACTTTCTGATAATGTACACACTCTGCTACAACACTAATTTTATCTTTTAAAACAAATGATGAGTAACCTGTTTGTGTTCCTTTAAAATCGTTGCTTCTTTTCATGTTTTGCAAGATGGCACCTTATAATTCCAAGCAGAAAGTGAGTTCTTAAGATTAGAATATTCTGTCTGCATTTGACCTGTTCCAAAAAATCTAATTTACAAATCTGATGGCATTTTAATATTGTACATTTAGAATACATTTAGGTTGTCTGGCATTTTCATGTATGACACAGACTTGTTCCACATATCAGTTTTGCTATTTAGAATGCAAAATCTTTGAAGCTCAATATCTCCAAACTGCTCAAAATGCAGACAGAGTCTTATAATTCCAAGGGGACAATCTGACAACATACTTGGCGAAGGCGTTTGTTTGACGAAGACTGGGAAGGTTTCCTAAGGTTACTGCAGAAGGTTTGCAGACATTTCATCCAGTCCTAGAGAGAACAGAAATCAATTAAAAAATGCAAAAAGTTTTAAAGTGCTTATAAATGTGCAATATTTAATTAATTTCTCTTTTAGTATGTAGCATACCTGAGCTTGCTCAGGGGTCTGCCCTGCAAAGTAGAAGATATAGTGTTCCTCACTAAACAACTGCTCAAAAACTATTTGGAAACAGTTTGGCCAACAGAAAAAGATCAGTGTTTCACAATTGCTGTTAAAGTAGGTCATTTATACCCACTTCAATAACACAAGTTTAAAATTTTACCTGCTGAACATACTGTCGTGTACACCATACACAGAACATACGCACAGGTCAATTAGACTCTTTGGTTTGGTGGCTCGCTTTTCACTCTCAAAATATATGAGTTGAGAGTCATTCCCTTCCAGAATGAAGTAGAGATTCTTCCATCTTTTTCCTTTTCCTTTAAAATTAGACATACATCAGCTCATGAAAGTAGGTAACATATACTAAACAGTGGTAGAATTTAGCATTTTACGCCAGGTAAGGCTAAGGGCTGCACAATGTCAAAAAAATACATCAATTATAATGCTACACTCTGTGATTGCAAGGCCTTGGAATATAGTGAAAACACATGAATGTTGAATGAATGCATGTTGTAATAATGTGGCCTTCATTATTTTTACCAAAACAATTTGTTTACTAAATCATGTGTACATCTTGTTCTGTCAAACAAGAAAATCAGAAAATCTTACAATTCCCTGCATGAAAAATAGGTTTTATGACAAAATCTTATGGCAAACAACAACTTCATGTGATAACTTTCTGTGAAGTAGTTTTCAGAGCAGTGGTCTCCAACCCTAATCCTGGGCAGCCATCTTCCAGCAGAGCCTGTCACACCTGTTCCAGCTAATCATTCTTCCTGATTGGCTGGATCAAATGTATTAGACTTAAGTAACGGGTGGTGCAGTTTATTGGAAACAGGCCAGAACTCAACTCTGCAAGAAGGTAGTTCTCCAGGACCAGAGTTGGAGACCACTGTTTTAGAGGTATTAAATGCTTGAATACATGCTCTGAATTAATTTGTATACATCTTAATTACTTACTAAGCAGACATTTAGAAAAATCGGTGGAATTCTTCTTGCCAACATATGACATGTACTAATAAGCAAATGAAGGTCTATTTAAGGAGTATTAGAATATCAGAAGGCTACAGAAACTTTCCAACCATGGACAGCTTTTCAAATGTTGCAGTTACGGTGCTTAATAATTTTATATAACTTTGCTTTTCTTTACCATCTACAGTGCTACAAAGTTTTATTGAACAATTCTATGCTCAGAATAACTAATTCTAACAAAGAATATCTCCACCAGTTTGAATTGAAGTCCCTGTAGTTACTGAATAAGAAGTCTTAGTAGGTAATAAACCTGTGATTTTAAGGGGTTAACCTTTTTAAACTGCTGTTTAAATACCTTTGTTAAACAAAAGATACCCTTTCTTTACAATGTTTTTGTAGAATGCATCCTTTGTTTTTCGACGTAGAGTTTTGTAGATTTCTCTTCCCTCTGCAAAGTCAACAAGTATCTGCTCCTGGCACTGAAAAGAAATCACAGACAAAGACCAGAACTTAATTTATGCATTATAGATACTACAGAGTGGCAGTAATACACATTAAATCATATAAAACTAAATTCCTGGGACAACTCTTAACATGCTACTTACCTGGGCAGGTACAGCATCTTTCAGAACATAACCCTGAACAATCTGTTCTTTCCTATAATGCTCAACGATCATCCATACTGAAAAACAGAAAGAACAGGGTAGATAAAAAAAAGGGTGACACTTTATTTTGAGTGGTCCCTTTAGATGAAACAAACACACAGGGTTGGGTGAGGTTCATTGTTGCACAGTTAAAGTAACATATTAACAATACATCTACTCAATGTAAGTAATGTATCAACAGTATATCTACAAGATATTTAATTCAATGTATTCAGATGCTTCACTACTAGTCTGGAGATAACTGGTGCTGATTTTCATGTTCAAACAGTGCAGTGGATGCATAATCAACAGAATGTCCTTTCTTACAATGCATTATCTCACTTTTGCACTGCGATACCATGATGTGTATTGTTGCACTTCTATTACCCATGTTCACCTGTTATAGACACGACCTCCCATCATGAAGTTGTTGCTTGATGTTGGGCAGATTTTAAAGCACTGGATGTTTTTACTGGTGCGGAAAAAGAGAGAGTAATCTCCAGGTGTGCTGTCTGACAGTCTTACTAAAAAACTAGACACCTGTCCAACTGCAGAAAAAAGGTAATAAAACAAAAAGTATTAGTAAAAATGAACAAGTTATTTTTATTTTTGGCGTTAATAACAGTCATTCTCAGCTATGACTGACCTGTCTTGAGTAGAGTATAGGCCTCTTGCTTGGTTATCTTCCCATGATACCATCTGCATTATGGAAAGAAGCAGTTAAGGCAAGGCCACAAACCAAGAGACTAAGAATTAATGTCACAACATAAGCAATAGGATGCTGAACTCTCTCCCTACTTTGCCCCCCCCCCTTCTTCTTTTTGAATGACAGCAGTGTATGAAAGGTGCTATATAAATAAACTTGCCTTGCCTTGCCATAAGATTTGAGTAGCAATCACACTACCTTATATCACAGTTTTTAAGTCAACTAGGCATCTGCATAAATCAGTGCACCATGTGCATGTTCCTAGTAGGCTGAACTGAACACTGCAAGCAACATAGAACAAATGTAATCAAACATACATTTTTCTCATGAGGATCCTCTTCTCGTCCCTATTAATGAACAACATCAAAGACAATCACGAAACCAATGCAAAACAATATGTCCATACACAGATGATGATTTGTCTTTTTAACTCCTCCACTTTTAGTACGTACCACTTCTTTTACTAAATTTTTCACAATAAGGCCTTGCTCATCAGTTCGGACATTTGTCACCCACATCCAGCCATCTTCATCTTTGTTGTGAACTATAAACATATCTCCTTTCAGAAAACTGTAGAGTACAACACCTTAAATGAGTATTGATAATATCACCATCAAAGCTAAACCATAGAAAACTCTTAGAGCTCAGGTACCACTGAAGTGACTCAGCAAACCATAACTGAGCTCATCAGTTTCAGTTTTTGTGTATGGGAGAATGGCTTGCACCCTTCGCCGATCCTCAACAGGCTTTGCATCAGAAAAACAGGTAATAATATTAAAAATTAATACAACTTTTTTGTAATTTGTTGGCAGCTTCCAATGGTTAACTTAAAAAAGCACAGAGAGACTTCTATTTACTCTTCTGTAAGGAGGTTCTATTACCTCTGGGGGAGCCACAGGTGAAAGAAGCTTTTCTCCTTTCAGCAGACAGGAGACATAACTGTAATAACCAATCAAGTCTGACAAGGAGGAAAAATGACACCCTCCAATACAGTAGTCTCCACACATGGCAATGATCCTGCAGACATAATTAACAAATTGATGGTTTGGCTATATTTCGAATTGGTTGATGGCCTACAATTTAAGGAACTAAACTTTCTTGCACAGAAACACACCTGAAGTGGTTGACAGTACTAGTCACGCTAAGGAAAGACAGCACAAAAGAGCCAGGCCGACGATCACTCTCCCTGATGAGGTAGCCGCCTGGTGTTTGAGCCTGGTGCAAGCGTTCCTCTGCTATTGTCCTGTCCAGCTTCCCATGATACCACCTGAAAGGTTACACACTCCCATAACAACTACTCAACAACAAATACAGAGGAGCTAAGGTTAACAAGCGCTTTGGTACTGGTACTTTCTAAAATGAAGTCAAACAACATCCCACTTGAAACACTACACTGCACAAATTTTCTTCAGTATGTGTATTTGCATACTTGCTAGGGTTGAGGACGAAAACCCAAGTCCTGTCTCAAATCATCATCTACAGCGCCCATCTTTGCTGAAAATGCCAACTCACTGATTAGGAGGCGGTGCAGTAAGTGGAAAAGTTACTTCCTCCTCTTCATATTCCTGACCGTCCAGAGCATCATTTTCTTCGATCCCCATATATGGCGGAAGGCGGCTGAGGAAAAAAATGAGCATACAAGTGTACCTGTGGACTTAGGTATGTTGATATCTAGTTGGCCGTTCCTTCTTTTTGAGATGGCAATGATATGCTTGCATCTTCAAACAGACCATGCCCCATGGTACCAGCACTGGCAATTCCTGTTGTGGCCCATATGTCCGCTCCCGGTTTTGGATCTCCTCCAACAACCGAATACAACGTCAACTCTGGAGCCGTTTCACGTGATATGCCTGGGGAGATGTTAACTTGGGGAGCAGGGCCCAAGTCCATCCTCGGATAGGCCGAGAACCATACTGTATCCATGCCACTTTTACCACCTCTCCGTGTCGCTGCCGAGGCAGAGTCGGGCTCCTCATTGCCATCATTTTCTCTTTTGGAAAGCAGAAGAATGGCCAGGGTTAGGCTTGACCGAGTGCAGTCACACCGAGGGCATTCTTTCCCCCTTCAGATCCACCTCTGCAAGTTTATGCTGTAAAGAGATAACTTGAAAGTTATATAGGTTACAACTTTTCCACTTCTTAAACTGAGACTTATGACACTCGACAAACAGCTAGTTAGCTAGCCAAGCCAACTAGCAAGCTAAATATCTTGATAATTGCTAGTGCACTTCCTAGCCATGTAGGTAGCGGGCTAGCTAGTTAGTTTAGCTATATTAGTTAGCGAAGTAAATCAAGAATAAGGTTAAATTAATTCAGGCTTTACTTTCTTTTATATCCCAAGTTAATGGATATTTTCAAAGGAGGGGAATAAAAAGCTGCCTGGCTAGCTAGCTAGCTATATTAGCTAGTGAAGTAAATCAAGCATAAGGGTAATTTAATTCAGTCTTCACTTTCTTTTATATCCCAAGTTAATGGGTATTTTGAAAGGAGGGGAATAAAAAGCTGCCTAGCTAGCGTTAGCTAACTACCTCAGTTACACGCCCATTTACCAGTGCGTTAGGGCGAACTTAATGTAAAGTAGTTCACGCCACAACACAGATTCAATTTCTCGGGTAAACAACAAGCAATAGGACAACTAACTTTAATCAAATACCTGTATCAATGTGGTTAGCATTTCCAACTAAGTAGGTACTTAACCTCTACCGACTAAAACAATCCAATGCGCACAGGTAGTTAAGAACAAAATATGTTAGCTAATATGCTAGTTTGTTACGCTATGTAGCTAGCTCGATTGCTTTAACCAAGTCCATCTGTGTCCCCAGGTTTCTCCCAAAAGTCCCACGCTGATTTGTCGTCGAGCGTTCCTGTTTGGTATGAGGCAGGCATATAAACGCGAGTCCTATTTACATTAACTTTTTTATAACCTACGTAACTTCATAATCGATGTCTAAAGCACATCTTTGGCTGCATCGCTGGCTCGACAATCTCTCATACACCACTAACCCTCACCTCACTAGAAAAATGCCCCTCCTTGCTTCACCCCTCCGCACTTCTTGACCGCTTGCTCGGCCCACACTAGCTTCAGCAGACCTATTGCAATTAAAAATGTTCTACTCATAGGCATGCCTTGTGATACAATTTCGCATACATTAAAGACTTTGAAGTATTAAAAATGATTAACAGTCCCGTCCAGTTAAGTGTAATAACCCAATTTTCTGTAAAATGGTAATTACATTTAAGAAATTATTATTTTTTTAAGCACAGATCTGGTTCTCAAAGTGCTGAGTGTGCCGCTCAGTTACTTTAACATAACTTTGTTTGAGTGTTTGTTTTCGGGCACTATTCAGTGCTTGCACTAAAATAAATACAATCCGAACTACCTACTATTTTAGTCATAGCGACTGCAAGAGAAACTACAAAAACAAATTAATTAGTGTGTTCTAGAGATCCTAAGAAAGGCGTCTAATAATAGTCATGCAATATGCGGCGGTGTGAATGCGCCATTCTTTCTGCCGTTGGGGCACTGCTGCGAGGAAGTGGTATGAGCGAAGTTGGGAGCCCTCTTGTTGGGATTGCCGTGTGCACGCCTCTTGTGGGTTTTACGATATTCTATCAGTTTGAACTTCTGCTCCATGGCGGCACATTCATTTGTTAGGTGTGAACGCAAGTGGGTTAGAGTAGCTGTAACGCTCCATTCAGCACAATACTGGTGCAGAAGCCCCCTTGCTGTGAATTCAGGGAGAAATTTGCAGAACTTCTGTACCAGTTATTCTTGAGAACAGTGCATACACTGTACTTTCTTGAATGATAAAGCTTTTCAATGAAAATGAATCATTAACGTTAGAAACAAAGGCATACCATTATTTGAGTAAGAATCGTATTTGGCAATGTCATTATAGAAGACTGAAGCCAAATGGTGCATCATTCACGATGGAAAAATGACAATAGCATCAAAAAGCTGCCCAAACACGTGCTTCCCTGATGAGAGCTTACTTTGATATCCAGCTAAAGAATTGTGTAGTAAATCACAACCCTGGACTACTCTCTGCTCTGCAAATGTGCACCTATCAGGCATAACAGTATGACCACCTCCTTGTTTCTACGCTCATTGTCCATTTTATCAGCTCCACTTACTATACAGGTGCACTTTGCAGTTCTACAATTACAGACTGTAGTCCATCTGTTTCTCTGCATACTTTGTTAGCCCCCTTTTACCCTGTTCTACAGTGGTCAGGACCCCCATGGACCCTCACAGAGCAGGTACGATTTGGGTGGTGGATCATTCTCAGCACTGTAGTAACACTGATGTGGTGGTGGTGTGTTAGTGTGTGTTGTGCCAGTACGAGTGGATCAGACACAGCAGTGCTGCTGGAGTTTTTAAACACCTCAGTGTCACTGCTGGACTGAGAATAGTCCACCAACCAAAAATATCCAGCCAACAGCGTCCTGTGACCACTGATGAAGAACTAGAGGATGAAATAGTACCTGCTCTGTGAGGGTCTATAGGGGTCCTGACCACTGAAGAACAGGGTGAAAGAGGGCTAACAGAGAAACAGATGGACTACAGTCTGTAATTGTAGACCTGCAAAGTGCACCTGTATAGTAAGTGGAGCTGATAAAATGGACAATAAGTGTAGAAACAAGGAGGTGGTCATAATGTTATGCCCGATCGGTGTATTTTCCATGTTACAAACTCAACTGATCCACTAATCAGCTGATTAACAAGCACTTCTTGAGTTGAAGTGGGTCAGTTCAAGCAGAGAAAACATTAAAATGCTCAGGGTACTCCAAGACCAGGTTTGGGAACCTGTGGTGGAGATAAATAACACCATGACATTAAGTGTGCTTAATTCTCAGTACATTTGTTCAGCATTCAAAAAAAATATTTGAATATGTACTTTTGCCCATGAAGTGCTTTTTTTGTGGTAGGGGAATGATCTTGAAGAGGGAATGTGCAAAATATTTATACATGTCCTGGAACATCAAGACAACAATAAATTATTGCAGTCTACTCCTGAGGTGGAGAAGCTAGGTGGGGGCAATATGACAGTATTTTATCATACTGTGAACTTTTTTTAATGTGGGACTGTTGGTTGCTTTTTTAAGTGATAGCAGTCAGTCAAGTGGGTTCTGAATCAAGACAGTGCCATTCCTCTGAACCCAACAAGATTTTCTATATTACACCACAAGCAATCTATTGTCCGTAGTATGTTCTTGACTATCTCATTCCTATAGCCCCATCATCACCTATCCCAAAGTGCTTATTAAATTTATTAAATTTGCATGAATGTATTTTGTCATTGAGTAAGCATTGATTGATTAAAGAAAATGTATGGATTGGTCTGTAATCTAATTAACCATTAGGATTTAAGCTGAGGATGACACGCAACGGACTATGTCCACCAACTGAGCTACTCAGGTGAATCACTAGATGGAGACATTTTCATGCTGTAAATAGACTCTTACATTAAGCAGACAAATCAGTTCTGCCTATGTTGGGCTAACAAGCTGAGATACTGCTTATGACCAGTTTTTTTTTTTTGTTTGTTTGTTTTTTGGTTTTTTTTTGTTTTTTTTGTAATTGATTTTTGGACCACAGCTGTACTCAGTAGTTAGCTGAGTGGTTGTTGTATGTCTTGAGTCATATCAGTGTCCAGTGTGCTCTTTCCTAAATAACCCTTTTCTGACAAGAGAATGGGGCTACCACAATTTTCGTTATTATTATTTGTGATGCCATAAACAAATAAGTATGTGTAAGCATTAACAAACATATACTGGACTGTAGAATATTGGTGCTGTCTATCAACAAAAAATGATAAAATTTGCTAAATTGTTTATCTAGTGATTTATGTGCTCAGGACTGTTGAATTGTGCTGTTGTGCAATAAACTATTTCTAATTATTGTCTAAACCCTATTAGGATGCCATTTCTCTAACACAAGACATTCTTTTCCTGAGAAAGAAGTGTTACAATTACTGTTCCTAAATTGACCCCTTAAATGATCAAAGTTTTATTACACACTAATATAACTTAAAAAATATCTCAGGGAGTTTGCATTGAAGTCCTTTTATTTACTGAACAATAAGCCTTAATATATAATAAGCCTGGGATTTTAAGGAGTCAAGTATGTTTGGCATCATTTTATTTGCAAAGATAACACTACCAATTTCCAAACACTGATTTCTAGGTTCTTACTTGCAGAGTCTCCACTTTAGTTCATCCCACACGTTTTTCAACAATCTCTACAGTATTGTGCAAGACACAAAGACCACTTGACAATTATTTTATTCACATTCAAAATGTCCATTAAGTACAAATTATTTATTTTTCAGGACATATTCTGAGGAGATTAGAGTATAACCTACTTGTAGAAAAATAGGTAAAAAAATAATTATTAGAAGATATAAAGTAAAAATGAGACTCCTAAAAACTGTGCAAGGCTTAAGAGACCACCAAAACTGTCACTGTCAGTTAAACAGTGCTTGAAGCTGTCATCCATGAGAGACAGGACAAAATCCACTCTTGCTTCAGATCTAAAAAAAATCCACAGATGCTTTTGTTTATCTTCCCACTGAGTGTTTCTTCTCAGCACTATTGATTTTAAAGAATGTGCAGCTGTCAAGAAGCTGTTAATGATAAAAGGAAATAGACACAAAAGAAGAAATCTAGACTAGAACACTGAAACTGTTTCATGAATTGATGAGTCTAAATTTGTAAATGGTCTCTGACTTGCACAACACTGTATGTGTTTTTATTATCATGCTTTTAGTGTTAAACTTTAATTAGACAATTCCCAATGATGGAAAAGCACCTCTTCTTTAACAACACTCTGTAAGCATTTGGGAACTGAGGAGACCAACTGCTGCAGTTTTGAAAGTGAAATATTTTCCCGTTCTTGCTTAACATAGGATGTAAGCTGCTCAACAGTTTTCCTTTGTCGTATTTTTCATTTCATAACGCCCCAAATGTTTTCAGTGGGTGACAGGTCTGGACTGCAGACAGGCCTTTTAATACTCTTTTAAGACTCTTTTTATATGGAGCAATGCTGTTGTAATACATGCAGAATGTGGTTTGACATTGTCTTGCTGAAATAAGCAAGGTCTTGCCTGAAAAAGACATCATCTATATGGCGTCACGCAGTCTTTCACAGAGTGGTGAACTCCTCTGCATCTTTACTTCTGAAAGACTCTGCCTCTCTGAGATTCCAAGCGCCAGAGTGGGAGACTGACTATATTCACAATCATGTTACTGACCTGTTGCCAATTACCTCCAGGTCTTTTTTTTACCATTACACAACTTTACCAGCCTTTTGTTGCTCCCGTCTCAACTTTTTTGGAACATGTTGATGGCATCAAATTCAAAATGGGCATATTTTTTTCAAAAAACAATAAAATTTCTCAGTTTCAACATTTGATATGTTGTCTTTGTACTATTTTCAATTAAATATAGGGTTTAAATGATTTGCACATCATTGGATTTTGTTTTATTTACGTTTTGCACAGCATCCCAACTTTTTTGTTCTCAGGAATATCTAGATGTACATGTTTTTAAGTTGCTGTAGGGGTTTCTGTTAAATTAGTAAATTAAACAGAATTTAGGATGCATGCAAAATAGTAATCACTGTTTTGGTGTAGTAAATAGGAATAGTCTTTGCGGTTGTGCTCATGAGATGTATAAAAGACTTTTTAAAGGTGGTTAGGTGGTGGTGTAAACAAATAATAAAACTTGCCACAGCAAATGAACATAATCCATTATGCCTATAGCAAACACAAATTAGACACAAATTAATGTTATGAGCTTGACTGGCTTATTTGAAAACTTAAAAATGTACAAATTAGAAACATACTTTGAAGAATATGTGGATAATCGATTTCAGTTTGATATCAAGATATTCTTCAGATTATATTTTTAACATACGATCGAATCTAGCTTCACCTCTTCTAGTTCTGACAGAAAGTCACACATTTAGCCTACGCCACAGAAGGGGTCCTTGCAACATTTGACCACTGCGCGACCGTGAGACGGAAGATGCGGAGTGTGGTAGCCTGACGGGGTAGAACACCATTACTGTAGCAGATGAACCTGTACTGTAACCGATAGCAGCGGTTCTTTCAAGCGCCAGAGCGGGAGACTGACTATATTTTAATCTGCGTTGAAGAATCTCATCGGGGACGTGGCAGGGAATATCCGTGAATCTGCGACAAAGAAAGAAGCGTAGCATTCGGCCTTTGAGAAAAGAAGACGTTAACACTGAATGACATGGTGTCTTTGTTTCTGCTTATGATCCTCTGCATTGGCGCGTCTGTCCCAGATCCGACAACCGGTGAGTTAGATAAAAAAAGCTGTTCGTTTTCCGGCAAGTTCGTAGAGTATATACAATAACCATCCATTAGCATACCTGTCGTTCGTTTGGACGTCCCTGACTCGCACTTGGCCAAGGCCAAGTTTCACAAACCCAGCTTCTCTGTGTGAAAATAGCCTTCTTTTTCGGTATACCCGAGAAATGTTCTTTAGCAATATAACGTCTCCAAACATGACCTAATAAGATTTTTTTTTTTTGTGCAGAAATAAAGGAGAGGACTGACGAAAGGATATTTCAGGTTATAATTTTATAAGTAGCATTAGCCTACACCACTCCACATGTTACAAAAAACGAAGAACCAATACAGAATGAATATAGGCTAGAATGAGCAGTACAAGATACTTCTAGCACTAGTGTTTCAGCTCTCTTATATTACTAAACTTTATCTCTATGATTTATCGTAATGCAAACTAGTTTTCAGTACAGAGACGTGACGGGTAATAGGTCATACTTTAGTGTCATTCAAACCGATCTGATTCTGTCATTGTTGCGTTCATCACTGTCCTTAAAAGTCTAGAGATGAAGCCATCTTGAGTATTCAGATGTGAACCTGTCATTGATAATGACAGAAGCGATTGTACAGTGGCAGGAATAAGTATTTGAACCCTTTGGAATTACCTGCATTTATGTATAAAGTCGTCAAACACAGTCTGTGCATAACTAATAACACAAAAATTAATGCATTGATCTTGTCCATCTTAAAAACATCATTCAAACATTTACAGTGTAGGTTGGAAAAAGTTTGTGAATCCCTAGGCTAATGACAACAAAGGCTAGTTGGAGCCAGGAATTTGCAAACCTGACGTCCAGTCAGTGAAATGAGATTGAAAGTGTTGGTTGGGGCTACTTTGACTTATAAAAACCAATCAAACATTCTATTCACATCAGCATGTGCTGATGTGAACCATGCCTCGCAAAAAAAAGAGATATAAAAAAGACTCACTATCAATAATTGTTTTTGTATGAAGCTGGAAAGGGCTACAAAAGTAGTCTCAAATAGTTCAGGTATTTATTAGTCTACAGTTAGACAAACTGTCTATAAATGCGAATGATTTAGTACTGAGTCTGCTCGCCTTTGAAGTGGCCGTCCAGCCAAGGTCACTCCGAAGACACAGTACAAAATGGAAAATGAAGTAAAAAGAATCGTAGAGTAACAGCTAACGGCTTGAAGGAATCATTGGAACTTGTTAACATCTTTGTTTATGAGAAAACAGGCATGGTGGCCTTGGCACAAACGGAGAAAGCTGCTGCTCTTCAAAATATAAAAAACATCATTACATGGCTGAAGTTTGCAAAAGAGCGCCTTGACACACCAGAACACTCCAAAAATGTTTTCTGGACTAATGAAACCAAGATATTTCGGAAAGAACACATAGCACTGCATATGGAGTAAATAGGTCACTACATACCAACATGGAAACATCATCCCAGCTGTGAAGTATGGTGAAGTAAGCATCATGATCGTAATTGTTGAGGGAAAAATGAATTAACAAGCTTATCATAGTATCCTACAGGATCATGTAAGTGCGGCATGTCTGCAAGCTGAAGCTCAGTGGAAGCTGGGTGATGCAGCAGGACAATAACTTGAACATCGAAGTAAACATACTTCAGAATGGCTTGTGAAAAAAATCCACATTTTGGAGTGGCCCAGTCAGAGCCTAGACCTTAACCCAATAGAGATGCTATGGAATGACCTCAAGAAAGCCATTCACACCAGACCTCCAAGGAATGTCTAAGCTGAAACAGTTCTGTAAGGAAGAATGGTCCAACATTCCTCTTGGACCTTGTGCAGATCTGATCTGCTGGAAGTGCTTGCTTGAGGTTAGTGCTGCCAAAGCAGGGTCAACCAGTTATTAAATCCAATGGTTTATTTGCTTTTTCCACAAGCACTGTGAATGTTTGATTAGTGTGCACAATAAAGACATGATTATTTTTTCAAATTATAATTGTTTGTGTGTTGTATTAGCTTTAGCACATGGTGTTTGTCCATACTAGTTAGATGAAGAACAGATCACATCTTACGACCAGTTATTATCATTATCATGATTATATCATTATCATGAGTCATTATCAACACTGCATATAATAGCATAGAGGACACACATAGATTCACTTTTGGAAAATATATATATATATTTCATATATATATATGTGTGTGTGTGTGTGTGTGTGTGTGTGTGTGTGTCTGTGTGTGCATTGGCTATATATGTGTTGTAGAAGTCACAATTAATTATATAGAAAGTTTGGAAATCCCCTCTTGCCATAACACACATCAACTCAAGCTGATACTTTAATAACTCGTATAGTCCCTTCAAGAGATAGAAAGACATAACCTTCAGTCAGAAATCTCTTTTGCTTGGAACACATTACATATATATGCTAATTCCTCCAAGGGAAGAAAGAAAAAGGCAGTCATTTCAGTCTGTGATTTGTTTTTGTTTTTGTTTTGTTTTTTTTATAAGAAAAATGACTGTAAAAGTCTGTAATGTAATTTTAAACCTGCAGTGTCACATTAGTAGTTGACCAGTGAAGCTACAGAACAAGCTTGGTCTGCTTGAAAATCTTTGCTGAGGGTATGGTATGCGGTGTAATTTGCAGAATTTGATGCAGCACATAATAAGAATTTCAAAATGAGCTTTAAAAATTTGATTAAATAACCACAAATATTATTAATTTTTTTCATGTTGTTATTACTGTGTTATTACATTCAAAGTAGATGTATGTGAGCCCATCTCTTGTGAAAATGATGCAGACTGCTTCAGCACACCAACAGATGAGGTTTTGTCTTGTGAGTATTTTGTTGAGCATCTTGTAAGTATCTTTTCGATGTATTGAATAGCTGGGTATTTTTGTCTTAAATGAGTTACTCCAAGTTACTTCCTATGTCAAGTAGTGTTTCCCAATCCTGGTCCTGGAGGCATGCTGTTCTGCATGATTTAGTGCTTTTTCTGCTCTAACACACACACACACACACACACTACAACTCAGTAAAGGTTTTAATGAGCTTGTTAGTTGGATCAGGTGTGTGGGAGCAGTGAAAGCACAGGTGCAGGGCAGTGTGCCTCCAGGACCAGGGTTGGGAAATACTGATGTAGAGGTTGGAGAGGATACTGATGTAGAGGTTAGAGGTCAGTTGCACACAGTATATCCAGTCAAAGTTTACAACGGCACTTTTTACAACGGCACTTTTTACAACAGGCGTTGCCACAAAGCAGCTTCACAGAAAAATCCTGGTCCAGGCCCCCATGAGCAAGCCAAAGGTGACAGTGTCTGTGCATGCACAGCTTTATAGGCTTTATTTAATAACAGGTGGCTTTTTAGAATGTCATGATCATTGTTTCTATCTGTATCTGCATTTTGACTTTTACTGTTAGCTCTAGTCAACAGTCCTGCCAACTCATTCACCATAGTGGCGCTGATGCAAGTTTCAGAGCAACAACATATTTGGTTTAACAGTTTTTCTTTTGGAAATGCTTTTTCCACCGGCAGGCACACAATTTTATTACATGCTTCTATAACCCAAGAATAGCTGAACGAGTTTGCACTATAGTCTAAATAGTTACAGAATAATAAGCCTTAGTACGTAATAAGCCTAAAATCTTAAGGGGTTAACTGATATCTTACACATCTCCTCTTTTGTCTTCAGTTTGAAAAATGAGTAACAATTCACTCTTTCCACCAATCTCTTGGGAAATTGGGCAAGTTTTTAGATTAAAAGTTTTTCAGTGGTATCCTAGTCACAGTTACGGTTGCTGGGCTGTGAAGGGCCGACTGCGTGAATTTGCTACAGTGCAACCCTGAGGCAGACTAGTGCTGCATCTCTAGTTAGTTAAGAATATCAAAGACGGAAGCTCACCAATTGTGGGTGATGCAGGCAAAACAATTAGCTTTCTATTAATTTGTTTTTGGGCATCTATTTTTGCCTAACAAACAGCATATAATAAGTTTCCAGGGAGACCCCAAGAATTTTGATTTTGAGACATTCAGGGGGTCCAAAAGGTTAATTAGGCAGTTCTGGATCCTCCAGGACCCCTAGCGTTTCACACCTTGCTTGTTACCTACATTTGTCAAACACGTCTTGGCTTATTGACAACAGTATAGTGCTAAGAGGAAAATAATTGCCAAAATGTATTCTTTGTAGGTTGTATTAGTTTCTGTTGCTGTCTTGACACTGTTCTTTATATAAGTCACATTTACCATGTATTTTAGTAATATCTGTACAAAAGCCTTCCTTCATGCACAAATATATATATAACCCTGTTACCAAAGAAGTTGGGACTTGGGAAAATGTAAATAAAAACAAAATGCAAAGATGTGCAAGTCATTTAAACTCTATATTTAATTCAAAATAGTACAAAAACAAAATGTCAAATTTCAAACTGAGGAGACCAATTGAAGTAGTTTTGAAAGTGTGAAATGTTTTCCCATTCTTACCTTACATAGGATCTTAGCTGCTCAACAGTTTGGGGTCTTCTTTGTCGTAATTTTAATTTCATAATGCGCCAAATGTTTTCAGTGGGTGACAGGTCTGGACTGTAGGCAGCCCAGTTTAGCATCAGGACTCTTTTACTACAGACCCAATCTGTAGAATGTAGAATGTAGTTTGGTAATGTCTTGCTGAAATAAGCAAGGCGATTCCTGAAAAAGACGTCATCCAGATGGCAGTAGATGTTGCTCCAAAACCAGTATATTTCATTCAGCATTAATAGTGCCTTCACAGATGTGCAGTTCACCCATGCCATGTGCACTAATGCACCCCCATACAATCATGAATGCCAGCTTTTGAACTGTGCACTGATAACAAGTCAGATGGTCCCTCTTTAGCCTGGAGGATGCGATGTCCATGATTTTCAAAAAGAATTTCAAATTGTGCTTTGTTGGACCACAGGGCTTTTTTCCACTTCCCCTCAGTCCATCTTAAATGAGCTTGGGCCCAGAGAAAGCAGCAGCATTTCTAGATCTTGTTTATGTACAGTTTCTTCTTTGCATGGTAGAGATTCTGAGTCTATGCAGTGATTTCCAGTACAATCATGTCTGTTATTAATGCAGTGCTGCCTGAGGGCCCAAAGATCACAGCTAGCCAATATTTTCAGCCGTGTCTCTTGCACACTGAAATTTTTATATACTTTATATACTTTTTTATACTTTTTTATACTTTCTAAAACTACTGTTTCTTTTATTCAGGCCAATCTGGCAATCAAGAGTAGAGTCATTCTTGAAGTATAAATTTGTACCTATTTATTTACAAAATCAATAATTTAAAAAAAGGATTTTTTTTGAATATTTGGATTAAAATCTTGGTCATGACATTTTGGAAAGTTATCTATTGCAAAACTCTTATAATCTCTTGGTTAATATACCAAAATAATAAATAGCAGAGGCAAGAAGTGAATGATTATGGTATTTAGTGGTGTAAATAAAGATATTTCTAATCTCAAGGCAGAGCACATTCCTGTAACTAGCTGACAGTAACTGAATTATCATGTTGAAGAAATTAAAGTATTTTATTTTTCTGAGAAAATATGTAAGAAATTCAGTATTTTACCTTTTTTTATTACTTTTACCTTTTTTATTTTATTATCTCACAGCGTCATGCCATCCAAACCCTTGCCATAATCGAGGAGTGTGTGAAGTTGGTGAGGGCTTTGTTGGATATCTGTGCAAGTGTCCGTCTGGCTTCAGTGGTGTCCACTGTCAATACAGTAAGATGCTACTTTAAATATTTGTTTTTAATGTAGAAGTAATTAGAATTATCATAGATGTTGCAATACATATTTTCAAAAAAATAGTAGAGGCAAGAAATTAATGATTTTGGCCTTTGGTTGTGGAAATCAATATTATTTTAAGGCAGAACACATTTTCTTTTATTTTATTGCAAAGTCATGAAAGAAATGTTCAGGGTTTTGTACATCATCCTCTTACATTTTCTTATATGTATTGCAGGTCAGTGACTACTGAGAAAAATCTTGTGTTGTTAGCTTGTTTTTATACATGATGGCCCTTAATTGTTTTGTTACCTTACATTCTTTTACATTATGAATGGTTCAGTAACATTATGATTATGCAGCTCAAGCTCAGTGACCTGAATTTGCATGGTTTCCCAAGTCAACTTGTGGTCACATTCTATGATGCTGCCACTTCAAAAAGACATGAAACTGAAAGAGGTTGTAGAATTAATTAAATTATATCTCCAGAATTTCTTGCCATTCCTAGTCAGGTATCAATGTATTTTCACCAGTTTCATTTAAGACTTATTCTGATTATTGCTTTAACAATGATTAGACTTCACAGTGACTCAGCTCATTAAGTTGTGCCTAAAACACTAACATCACAAACATGAATAAAGAAACGCTGCGCTAGAAATATTCTGGGATTGTGTTTATCAAATGTAAAAATAAGCCAGCATACAATGACGTCTATAATCCTGCATTTTTAAATATTTCTTTGGATGACAATTTACTGATAAATAAAATGTTTTATGCTCCAAATATGTAAAGGGTATCTGACTGTTTCATTCCACAGATTTTAATAGAGAGGAGGGTAGAACCAGAGTGGAGAAAAAAACACAGATTCAGGGTGACAGCTGACAGCTCTTATTCCCGCACCCCAGCAATCCTCACACATTAATTTGACTACCTGGACTTAGGCCTCACTGAAGAAAATTTTGCCTGAATGCACGACAACGCCTGAATGCCAGGAGTGCCATGTTTCCATCATATAGCAATAAAAGAAAAAAAAGAAAGTCATAGAGTTGTTTGGTGGCTATGAATTTGCCAGAAGACTTGGAGAACACTTAGAGAATGCTATTCTTGGGTTGTGTATTGACCCTTTTATACATCTATAAAGAATAAATTCACAAAGAATAGCTTGTAGCTTTGAATTTCTGCATTTGACACCATAGGGACAGCGATATAAAATCAGAAGGGACATATGACATAAAGGTGATGGCAATGATTGCAGACTTAAAAGGCTCCTCTAACGCTAATGTATTGCTCAATATGCTTTACTACTGATGATATGGGCTGTGTTTTACAATGTTGTACAATTTCTAGTGGATTTTACATTGTTAGGAGAACACCACAACACCACAAGATGATTCACACAACCAAAGGGGCAAAAGTGACATTTCAGCAACTTTACAGGAGGATCTAAACAAAAAATGACCATATTTTTGTCTGTGTTTTTAAATTTGAAAAAGTCACATTTTGCCAGTAATGTTTCATTCCATTTTAAATATAAAACATTGGTGCATTTTGTGACAATATGAACAAAGTTTTACATTAATAAGTTAAAAAGAAACAACAATCTATTGTAATGAAATAAAATAGCATATAAAAAATCATAATAAAATTAGTAATCCCATGAACCATTTGGCCAGATGGGCAATTGAAAAGACATTACAAATGTCTTTGTAATAATAAAAATATGTCAGCAAGTATCATGAACTGAATGATTAGTAACATTTAACTAATAATTAAAGATTAATAGCTGATTAATAACCTTTAGCCATATTACCAACTTTAAGTCTACAGCAAGGCAATGGCAATTAATGCAGCTCTAGACTTGAGAGGGTTCTCTAACACTAATATGCTTTATATACTTCTGATGATTGGGCTGTGAGGTACACTGTTTTACAATTTCTAGTGCATTTTACATTGTTAAGAGCATGGGTGGGGAACCTTTTTCACACATATCTGGTCATGGGCCACAGACTACTGTGATGTAATAAATATTAACAGTGTGGAGAATCTGTCATAGTGATACAGATCTGTCCCCGGCAGAGTGTAACCAGCGCTCCACCTCTCCTTACTATTGACATCTTTAGCTTGTTGCCCCTTTCGTTAATGGACTCTATTTTAACCCCACCTTCACAGACTTTCAGCCTTGCACCTTCCCACGTGCTTGTCTTGTCATCTGTTCCTTGATTCTTGCATGTTCTGTGTATTTTCCATTGTTAGGTTCTGTTTGTATTTGTCCGTAGGCATTAGTATTAGCATCTTTCTTTGTATTGTGATGATTCTTGATATTTGTCTCTACATTGGCATTAGCATTAGCATTATATTGTGAATTTTGTGCTTGGCCTTCTTTGATTAGTCCTATTAGTCTCTCTGTTTGCTGTTACCTCTTGTTAGCCCAGCTGTGCTTAGTCTTATTTTGCACCCTTGTCTTTTGTATTGAGTAATTGTTGCTCTTTTGTTATTGATTCTGTTTTTTTGACTTCTTCATTTTTTGTTTTTAAATCTTCTGCAACAGTATCCTCCCAGCCTGGCTTCTTATGACACAACAAGACGTGAAATTAAATTTACATAACATTACATTACATTATTATACTACTAGCTCTGGAAGGATTTAGATTTAATTTTGACTTAATTTATAAAGAATATTTAATTAATACATAACCTATAGGCTGTGTTTCTCTTCTCAGATATTAATGAATGTGAGAAAAAACCATGCAAAAACGGAGGCATTTGCACAGACCTGACAGCAAATTACTCCTGTGAATGTTCTGGGGAATACATGGGGAGGAACTGTCAGTACAGTAAGTGTTGTCCCCTCATCTATTTCAAGTCACACTCTGTCATTTTAAAGATGATTTTATTTATCCAACTTCATCTTCATAGCAAATCAAGTGGCAGAACTACACTATTTTTAAATCCATATATACTGTATGTCATTGTATTCTATCAAAATATAAACGCTAACCAGTTTTATATACTATAGAGTCAAAATATCCTCCAAACTTTTGAATTCTAGTGTTTCAGCCTCACCCTTTGCTAACAGATGCACAAAACCATGCACATTGTAATTTTCTAAAGACAAACAATGGCAATAGAATGGGCCATACTGAAGAGCTCAGTGATCTAAAATGTAACATTGTCATAGGATGTTACCTTTGCCACAAGTCAGTTTGTGAATGTTAGCCCTGCTAGATCTGCCTCAGTCAATTAAATGTTATTGTGAAATTGAAGTGTCTAGGAGTAACACCACCATTTGAACATACAAACTACAAAGTGGATCCACCAGGTGCTGTAGTGTGTAGCACATAAAAATCACCCTTCCTCTGTTGCATCACTCACTCAGAATTCCCAATTGCACCTGGAAGCAACATAACAACCTGGAAGCAAAAAAATGTGCACTGGGACCTTCACAAAGTGTGTTTCCATAACTAATCAACCAGCTGCACACGAGCCTCATATCACTATGCGCAATGCCAAATGTTGACTGGAGTGGTATGAAGCACACCACCACTAGACTTTGGAGCAGTGGAAACAAGTTCTCTTGAGTGACAAATCAATGTTCACTATCTGTCTGATTGACAAATCTGGGTTTGGCAGATGCCATGACAATGCTACCTACCAGAATGTGTAGTGCCAACAGTAAAATTTGGTGGTGGAAAGATAATGTTCTGGAGCTGTTTTTCAGGGTTTTGGCAAGGCCCCTTAGTTCTAGTGAAGGGTAATGTTAATTTTATATTTTATACAAAGACATTTTAGACAATTACATGCCTCCAGCTTTGTGGCAACAGTTTGAGGAAGGCCATTTCTTGTTCAACATGACTGTACCCGTGTGCAAAGAGCAAGGTCAATGAGGACATGGTTTGAGAAACTTGGTGTAAAGGACCTAAGGCCTGCAAAAAGCCCTGACCTCACAAATGCTCTTTTGACTGAATGGTAACTGATTCCTACTGTAAAACCTTGTGGAAAGCCTTTCCAGAAGAGAACTTTGCAAGAGGAGGTTGTTATAGCTGTAAGGGAGTGTCTCGATATTAAAGACCTCTTGTGCGAACTGCATAATGCTTTATGGCACCACGTCACACATCAACTATGGCTCTTCAGCCAACTATAAGAAGTAGCTCAGTATTCCCAGTACAAACATCATGGTAGAGGCTGCAAAGACACCAAAGAAGACAACATTATCCGAGGAAGAGAAAAAAAAAGAGATTGAGCAAGAGACCTAACAAGTAAACCCAACTGGCCTTTACTTGTTGGCAAGAGTTAAAAGAGATAAATGGATGCAAGACAGCGTCACAGCTAATGGGAAAACAACAAAAATCCAACAGCAGAGTGTACATCCCTTTATCCATTTATGAAAAACTGACGTAGACTGTAACCTTATCTGTGTCGTCCCTGTCTTACAGATTTTTGTAGTATTTCCAGATGCAAAGCTTTCTAACCTCAGTCCAGTTTCAGGCTATGCCACTCTTACACCAAATGAGCCTTGAAAGTTTGCAACCTCCTGAAATAAAATCCTTTAAAATTACCTATCTTGTGAGTTGACATGATTCTTCTCTTCTTATGTTATTTGCCAGTGTTGTGCCGAATTCCATCTCTCGGACAGAATCCGACTCCCCTTTGCTTGCACACTACAGATTACACTTGTGATTTCAGTTGTTTACACATAGAAATATAGAAATTGCGAGTGTAATCTGTAGCGTTCATATACCTCTGTAGCACGTGTGCATGTGAAGGGAAGTTGGATTCTGTATCCTTCAGCTCATCAACAAATGCATGTGTACATGAGGTGGATTCACAGTGTGACTTGTATTTACAACATATACCCTGAAACTTTAGAGGGAGCCCAAAAGCAAAAAATACCAATTCTCACATAATACTGATTTAATGCCCATGGTTTTGGAATTTGATGTCTAAAAAGCTCCTAGAGGTATGTAGTCAGGTGTCCAATTACTTTTGGCAATATAGTGAATCTTGCAAAAAGTATATGTTTGTATGTTGCCTTAAATTAATTAATTAATTATAACACAAAGCTCAACAGTATAAGCAGGCTGAAAGCAGATTTATCAGTAGTCTAACAAAACCAGATTAACAAAACCAGATCAATAGTAGGAAGTATAAATGGTCTTTATCCATTTCTTTAATTAAAGATGACGTGTTATTAATATAGAATGCAACTGTTGTGGTGTAGAAACTTTTTACTCAACAATATAACAAAACTGAATCAATTATTGAATGGTTAGTTACAGCCTTACTGCCTTAAGCACGCTCAGTCCCAAACAAACAGCTGTTTGAAGAGCTTACAAAGCTGCAAGTGCTCATTTGAGACTTGTAACTCTATTACATGTTTTTCTGGGAAACATTTTTGATGACTCAGTTAAAGTTGAATGCATTATGTGACAATTGGTGTCATGCTCTTTCTGTTACGGTTGTTTTTTTTTCTCTAAGGTGTCTATATAAAGTTGCAAACTCTGATGAAAACTGTGATCATGCTGTCTAAACACAGTAGCAGGAGCTCACTAAGAGCTAGCTTGAATAGTCTGAAATTCTTATTCGAATCTCCTTTGGAAAAGTCAGTGCGATCAACAGGGGGAGACAGCTCAAGCACTCCACTTTTACTCTCTCCAGAATGCAGGAGAGCGGATACCCTCTCCACAGATGCAAGAACTAATGATGGAAATGAAACAGTGGAGGACATTTTAGAATTTGAAAGTGAAGATAGTGTCTCTGTAAATGAAAGCAAAGATGCAGTATCCATTGATGAGACCAAAGATGTTCTGTTGAAGGGTTCAAGTTTCCCTGACACCTTTGAAGGCAAGCCAGCTAAAGACTGCATTTCAGAGGCAGATACTGTGTCAATGGCAGGGACATGTGAGAGCAAATATGAAGATGGCAATATTTTACCACTTGAGACCAAGGATAGCTGTCTTTGTGGTACTTGTAATCAATCAATTTTAACACACCAGGCAAATTCCTTGATTTTTTATTTACAGCAATATTGAGTGGCTGTGTCATCTTAGTTTGTCTGTGTCTTCTCAGGGTGTTCTGGACCTTTAGGAATGGAAGGTGGAATCATCTCTAACCAGCAAATAACAGGCTCCTCCACTCACCGTGCGCTGTTTGGCCTGCAGAAATGGTATCCTTACTTTGCCCGGCTCAACAAAAAAGGTCTTGTTAATGCCTGGAGTGCTGCAGAGAATGATCGCTGGCCATGGCTTCAGGTAATCTGTCTGCAACCTAAGCATACTGGAGAATGAGTGTATTTTCATATCATGGGAAGGTGGGTTGGTGTCCAAATTGAGGTTAGCAAAGTTTTTATGATTACAAGTAATAAGTATATGTATATAAAAGCATATAAAAGTACAGTTTCTGGTAACCATGTGAATATCTCTTTTGTTTAGATAACAGATTAAGGTTCATATCTGAGTCTAAATTTTTTTTTTAAAGTTTTTAAAGTTCATATTTGAGTCTAAAATTTGCAATCTACTTCCTACTTAGAGACACTTTATTACCAAGAGACAGAACGTTTTTAATTTTTTGACAGATTAATAAGTGAATTCAACTGAATAATTTAAGTTTTGCAAAGCAATATCTTGAAGAATTTCACACATTTTTAAAAAAGGTGTATTGGTGGCTTTCCACAACCAGCATTAGGAGATTTTTCAGTTTTTGACTTAGTTTGAAAATGACTGTTGCCCTTTACATCCTGTGTTAGTTTCATGATGAATGGATCACGAGAAATTGCCCAAAATGACTTGGAAAAAAATCTGTTTCCATTGACTTACATTAGAAGTAAAGTATGTTTTTCGCTCCTGTAAAGTTATCATTTTGGAGATACGAGGTTTTGTTCCGACAGCAGCGAGAGTTTTTAAACACGGTGTCCTCTCACTGTCCACTCTATTAGACACACCTACCTTGTTGGTCCACCTTCTGGATATAAAGTCAGAGACAAAAGTTCATCTGTTGTCATACAGTTTGTGTTAGTTATCCTCTAGTCCTTCACCAGTGATCACAGGACACTGCCCGCAGGATGCTGCTGGCTGTATATTTTTGGTTGGTGGACTATTCTCAGTACAGCAGTGACACTGAGGTGCTTAAAAATGGTAGTACAGTACCGACCCTTAAAGAACATCCTATCATATATAAGAAATTTATTTTGACACCAAAAGCAAACAGCTTTCCAGCAGTAAAAGTGATTTTTGGGTAAATGCAGCTTTAGATTATTTAAATATTTGCATAGATGTTTGTTGGATGTTTGTTCTCATTAATGTCCCCTCCCTCATTCAAGAGAATGTAGGACTGCTTTCTGAATTCTAAAAGAAGTCACTGTATTTGTTTGAAAATCTAACCATAGTGAGATCTAACCGTAGATAGTTCTATCTAATTCATTTAGGTTCCTTTAATTGTGTTGTAAATTAAACACATTTAAGCATTGCATAACTCAAATTTGATGATAAATGCATCAAAGCATTCATGAATTACCTCATTATAAGAGTGCCTCTGAGAACAGTGTACCCAGCAATGTTCTGAGAAAACATAATGACTTAAGTGATATATTCACACCACTGCCAGCTTTGCACACACTACAGCAGTGCTCTGTGCTTGCTCATCGTGAGTGTTGCTGCAGCTTAATTCAATTTTAGAAACAAAGAAAACTGGCATGCGTCATGCTTGCAGGTAGCCAGAGACCACAGTCTCTTGTTTGTTTTCTTTCATGTTTTACACCAAACCATCCATCCATCCATCCATCCATCATCTAAACCGCTTATCCTTCTGGGTCGCGGTGGGGTGCTGGAGCCTATCCCAGCTGTCATTGGGCGGAAGGCAGGATACACCCTGGACAGGTCGCCAGTCCATCACAGGGCAGACAGACAGACATACACATTCACACACACACTCACACCTAGGGGCAATTCAGCATGTCCAATGGGCCTGACTGCATGTTTTTGGACTGTGGGAGGAAACCGGAGTACCTGGAGGAAACCCACTCAGACACGGGGAGAACAGGCAAACTCCACACAGAAACGACCCTGGTCACCCGGCCGGGAATTGAACCCAGGCCATTCTTGCTGCTACCCACTGCGCCACCGTGCCGCTTACACCAAACCAGCTTTAAGATATTAAAGTAGCTAATATAAGCATTGTTGTGACTTTCAAACACATCAACACTTCTCACCCACTCCCTACTGAACACCCAGAGATGGGCATTGCTATGACACATACATTATAAGTGTTTCCTAATTATTAGATCCTTAACATATAAGTTGTTCATCATTTCTAATGAGACAGTGCTCATTGATCCTATCCTGTCCCATCGCAGGTAAATCTACAGAGACAGATGAGAGTGACTGGACTGATAACACAAGGTGCAAAACATATTGGGAGTCCTGAGTATGTGAAGTCATACAAAGTGGCCTACAGTGATGACGGAAAAACCTGGAGCATGCATAAAGTCAAGGACACTGATGAAGACATGGTATACCTGACTATATATATATATATATATATATATATATATATGGACTAGCCTAGGGTTTCTTCATTTGAGTTACACAGGTCCAAAAGATATGATAAGCTGTGAAAGGAACTGAACCACTCATCTATATTTCTCATTCAAAAGAACAGAATAGTATCTGAGCCATCTTCATCATTTGTTTACTGGTTAATTAAAGTAAATAATCAATTATGTACATATCAAGTAAATAATCAAAACATTACTGACTTTGTGGGATTTCATTTAATTTTTGCATGATACTGTCTCTAGATTTTCACTGGCAACACTGATAACAACACACCTTCTGCAAATTCCTTCAGCCCACCAATTGAAGCACAGTATATTCGCATTTATCCACAAGTCTGCAGAAAGCACTGCACGCTGCGTATGGAACTACTCGGCTGTGAGCTCACAGGTCTGATTTCCTCAGCAATAAACAGTAAATCAACATCAAAAATCAAAGGTCACATTGTGTAGTGAATATATTGTTTTTTTTTTGTTTTGTTTTGTTTGCTTGTTTTAATTGGATGTATATATTATGACTAATAGTATTCTAGCTCTTTAGTATCTAATAGTGGATTGTTTATTCGATCAGAATCAGCATACATCCCATGGAAAAAGCTACTATTAATGAAGTTCTCTTTTTTGGCTTGCGACAGGATGCTCTGAGCCAATGGGGATGAAGACAGGACACATCCAGGATTATCAAATCAGCTCTTCCAGTGTGTTCCAGACCCTTAACATGGGCATGTTCTTGTGGGAGCCCAGCAAGGCCAGGCTAGATAAGCAGGGCAAGGTCAATGCATGGACATCTGCCCATAATGACCAGTCACAGTGGCTACAGGTAAGTAAGAGACTGTTTACAAAACCACACAGAGTAATCATGCCTCCAGCCTGCCATTAGTTACACATAATAGCAAAACTAAATTCTTAGTTGGTATAAGAAAATGAATTGAACCAAAATGTGAACATTGTACTATATTCACTTACAGTCCTGATAATGGATGATCGTATACATATCAGCCCCTACTTCCTTTGTAACACTTCTCTTCATTAGGTCTTACTGAGTCTCTGTCTTAAATTCAAGTTTTCGTTTATCTGTGTCTCACATTTTAGGATACAGAAAGAGTTTTTTTTTTGATGTTATGTCATATATTTTGAATAGTACAGTGGTTTCTAGCACAACATATGGATGTGTTTTAAACAGATGCTACCTACTGTTGAGCTAGCATAGATGTGGGTTTGAGATACTTTGAAGAGTGTTTAAATATTTGATATATTCTCACTGAAATTATATTTGACATGACATTAAAAGTTGTAAAAAGGAATGCATGTTCAAATGAAGATGGCTGAAAGATATCTTGAAAAGGTTGTGTAGCCATCTCTTTTCTCTGACGCACCTAAATGATGTGCAGTGTGACAACTTCGCACATGCCACTCAGCAAACTAAGAATGAAGCAGCACATTGTTGCAACTGAGATTGCTTGGTTTGAAAGAGACTTGGCTGAACAGCCAAATGAACTTTGAAATGCTATAATCCCCTTACTATGATTGTCAAAAATACACAAGCAATTCACAAGCACTCAGACATCTGTATCTGCATAAAAGAAAGCTACAGTAGAGTGTATGTCCTGCTGATCTGGTCCTTTCTACTATGAAGGCCATTTTAATGCAAGCTGCATTTAGCAGATGATAGCCTGAAGGTAACTTCAACAAAGTCAGTAGTAGATTAGTTTAGGCGCACAATACCATTTGATTGTTTGGTATCTATAGAAGTGTGATTGATTTATGCTGTTTCTTTTACCAATGACCTTCGTTTGTTTGAGCATGTACTCCACTAAATACATCAAATGATAAAACGTGCCCTCAATATTATTCTATGTCTTCTGTGTGCACATTCTATGTGTTTTTAAGCATCGATAATCAAACATGCTTTGTAAGGTAATGACATGCATTATCACTAGGTGGATCTCCTGCTTCCGACCAAAGTCACTGGAATCATCACCCAAGGAGCAAAAGATTTTGGCCATGTGCAGTTTGTGGGTTCATATAAGCTGGCATACAGTAATGATGGTGAAAAGTGGCATATATACCAGGATGAAAAACAAAAAAAAGATAAGGTAAGATTTGTTTGCCATCATAACAGGATTTTAACTGAGTAGATTGAGATATTTGAGGATATGGTATAGACTGTTCATTTTTGTGTTTTCCCTATTGCAGTTGTCATTAACACGTTGATAATTATATGGTGAGTTGAAATAGGTGTGCAAAAACTGTAAAACACAAAAGACACTACAGGTACAGTACTTTTAAGGTGCTATAATTTAAGAGACTAAAGTTGATGAGGTTGTACCGCAACTTGCTGAATAAAACACAAAAGAACAATATGGTATTGATGGTCAGTTTTGTAAAACTCATTGATTCCTGGTTAACATGCTTTTGGGAAACCAAGCATAACATCTAGATTCCTGAAGGCTATAGTCAGCCACTGAATTAGAATTTAAATTTAAATGCATTTGAAGACTGCTATGTTATTTTTATTTTTTATATTTGGTAAACTGTATACTGTGGTACATACTGTGGTGAATTTTAAGATCATGCTTCATAGGATGTCTGAACAAAAGTGATGTACAGAGAAGAGGAAGGAAACAAAAAATCTGAAATGTATCGTATATTCTTTGTCCTCCTTTGTGGCCTCTTAATTAGGTACCTGGTACTTGCAGCTAAAGGTCACATCCTTGCCTTTCATTTGTAATATGCAAAATGGATATTCTTGTTTTTTTCCCCCCAATAACCACTTCCCACAACCAACCCTAACACATACACAAAGGCCATTAATGTCATGGTTGGGGAATGCTGTTCTTGTGGGGGTAAAAAAATGTAATTTGACAGTCAAGGACAGACACAGGAGGAAACATAAATCTAATCAAATGACACATTTCTCTTTTTAACATTGATCATTTAAATAATAAATTAATTTCTTAAGGAACAATTAGAGTACTACTTTTGTAATCATGAGTGTGCAAGTATTTAAACAGTCTTTTTCATATAATTGACAAAAATAGAAATGTGATTTATAATCCTTAGGATATAATTTGTTTTTTTGTGGTGCACATTTGGATAACTCTCATATTCCTGTTACTGATTCTGTCTGTTGTGTTGTTGACAGATCTTCCAAGGTAATTTTGACAATGAAACACACAGAAAGAATGTTATAGATCCTCCGATCTACGCTCGGTTTGTCCGAATCGTTCCGTGGTCCTGGTATGGACGCATCACCATGAGAGCGGAATTGCTGGGATGCCGAGAGGAGGAATAAAACAGATAAAATCATTCCCTCCATTAGAGACTGTTTGTAAAAATAAATAAATAATATATATATATATATATATATATATATATATATATATATATATATATATATATATATATATATATATAAATAATTCTATTATACGTGTTTAGTAAAAGGTAGGATTTTTAAATATTCCATGATAGTTGTTAGTGTACCTACTGTATGTAAGGATCTTTCTTCTTGTGATTTGACACTGTGGGTAACACGAAAACCACATGTAAAACGCATACTAATCACTAATTTAACATATTGCTTCAAAATCATTCAAAACATTACACTGATTGATGAAATTTCACTCAGCCAGTTCAAATCCTTGGACCATAGAATTCAGTAGTTAAATTATCAATTACTAAATTCTATGGTCCAAGGATTTTTTATTTGTTAAGTCATTTTTCATCAGTATATCAATTACATGTGTAATAATTGCAGAAAAGCACATCATAACCTTTTCTATTTAAACTCAACCAATTCCATGTGTAATAGTAAATCTTAGCTCAATCATGTAAAATCACCACCAGTGTGGGAGAGCAAAAGCCAATACATTTATCTTCTGTTGTGAAAGAAGCCTGTCACTTTTCTGCTAAACACCTGCTGAACTGTGTATTCCCTACTGAAATAATTTTGAAGATCACTATAGATTACTCTTTATAAAAGGAGGTAATTAAAAATAGAATTAATTTGAAGGAGGTCATTTTGTAAAACTCACTTGATTATGGTTTCAGCAACAATGCTTTCAGTGCATTCAGCCAAATATATGTAAGTAGCTCAGGTCTATGATTAGCTGATAAATTAGAGCATAGCAAAAAAAACGGTTATTTGAATTTTAATTTTATTGCATATGAAGACTGTTATATCATTTTTATTGATAAGACTTGATATTTGCGTAAATAGTCACTAATCTCATTTATTAAAGTTCTACTTCATGTGTTAATTCAAGTACTGAATTATATGATCCACTTACCATGAAGGTGCACTTTGTAGTTGTACAATTTCAAATTGTAATCCACATCTCTACATAATTTGTTAGCCTTTGAATCTATTTGTTTATCTGCATCTATCCATAACTCCATAATTTGTTATCTCCCTTTACCCTCTTTTTCAATAGTCAGGCCGCCTACAGAACCACCGTGAGCAGGTATTACTTCAGTGGTGGATCATTCTCAGCACTGCAGTGACACTGATGTGGTAGTGTGCTTCACAGAATGGATCACACACAGTTGTGTTGCTTGAGTTTTTAAACACTGCTGGGCTGAGAATAGTCTGCCAAAAACAAAAATATCCAGCCACCAGTGTCCTCTGGTCGGAAACAGACCACTGATTAAGGATTAGAGGATGACAAACACAAACTCCAATAATCGTACACAGTGTTTAAAACTACTGTGTTTGATCCATATGTAGTAGTGCATCACATGTTAACAGACCACTACTATGTCAGTGTCACGCAGTGCTGAGAGTGATCCACCACTTACATAATATGTCCCCAAAGTGGTCCAGCAGAGCTCCAGCACATAACCCAACCTATGATTAATCACTGAAAAAATGTAATAACATTAATCACATTACAACATATTTATAAAGTACAACCATTACAGGAAGGAACAAGCTAAGATCAGTTGAACACTGACACAATACACTGAACAGTGTTGTTGATCCAGTTCTGATATGATGATCCAGTTGGATATGCTAGCTAGCCAGTTAGTTGACTAACTATATTTAGCTAATTTTGCTTGTATTTTTTAAGATTATTAGTCTGTCATTTAAAAACAGCATTTGTCAGTAGTTTGGCTCAATTCAGTGCAGCAAGCATAGAAAACATGATCAGATGAGATCATGCTAACTGGACCCCACCTTGCTAGTTATCATTCAGTATTAGCACTGTGGTGATCTAAGAACATTGCAGGATGATCAGACCATTATTTAGACCACATTTGTATGGTTACTGTCTTTGTAGTTTTACCCACTTCTACAAGGTTGCAGCTACGCTATGGAGCAGACCTCAGTGTTCTATTATAACTGGAAAATAATGTGAAAACGAGAGGTCATTTAAGTGTATGATTCTGTTCCATAAACATGTCTTCACAGCCAAAGTAAGACTAAGAATAAGAACTTTGTACTCTGACACATTTGCTTCTTTTGGCCTAGTGCTGCCAAATGATTTGCTTCATGTAAGGGGAATGCTGGGCAATGAATAACAACTTGGTATCATTCATCTGACTATAGTGTTTGAACACAGCTGATTGTCTGTAGATAGTAAGGCTATTTACAGTTTTGGCAGAGTTCATAATGAAACCCATCAAATAAACAGTCCATTCGTTCTCCCTTTGACTTGACTCCTTTCAAAGTTTCTTCCTAATTCTATGTCATTACATATAACACCGTAACATTGATGTAATGTATCTCTACTAAGAAAGTCGAAGTTGAAAAAAAAATTAGTACTTTACATATTTTTGGGACATTTCTTGGATACGGAAAGAAGTATACAAATCAGTCATGTATACTTATGTATTAAAGTGACAATATTGTCAAATGTACTTTTATGTTTGTGCCCTAGTTACAAGTAATTGTGTAGTATTAGAAAATAAACACAGTATACATTGTGGACAAGCCAGTGGTGCCACTCTCTGGTGGCAATGAGTATGATGCATAAGGCAGTGAATAGAGAACATAAGTGACACCTGGTGGAATGTTTTGAACATTGTCTTTTAAAAAAATTTGATTATTTTTCTGGACAGAAAAGACAAAATAGGTCTCTCAAGGTATACAAAAACTAATCTGCTATTCTCTGTTGTAATGCGAAATGATTGTATCAATGCCATACTTAGTCACATACAATGTTTAGAAGTAATTAAAAACTTAAAATAATAAAATAAGGAAATACACAGAAATGGTCATTATCTGTTTGAATACATCATCCTTCTGCCAGCCAACAAACAAAAGAAAGCGTCTAGCACAAAAAATGGAGCCAAGAATTAATGGAAGCTTGTCTTGTTCAAACAGCAAGTAACATCATGCATCTCACTGATATCTGTGTGACAACAGAGTCTTCTGTGACTTCTGTCTGATTACATCACCCACTTCAGAACAGGCAAGGTCTTCACACAGCACATGCCCCTAAGTATCCACACAAAGAGATACATTTTAGAATTTTTTGGAAGTGTAATTTATGCTCTACAGATTTTTGTGACAGATGTGCTGAAGGTTTTTGAAAGTGATAAAAAACAATGTACAGTTCTAGAGAATTTTGCTTTACCCTTTTACCAAATACACTATTAGCCATCATAAATGCTCTCAAGAAGGTAGATGGAAGTAAGATCTTACACAGACATTTTGGAATATGGAATTCATACTGTCTAATTGTTATTAGACAATTAGACAATCGACAATAGAATCAATGAGATTCATAGTCCTTAGTGTCTTGTTTTACACTAACTTCTTGGAAGCATTTATGACTGCAGGCAGTGTTTTTCAGTTGCTTTGAAACCCCTATGGAATGCTGTTCCACAGCACATGTTTCTCCAACCTTAACTCAACAGGGAACTCACACAAATGGCCCGTTCACGATATTCAGGAGACTGTTGATTTTCTAGGCGTGTGCCAGTTCAGACATTTGACTGGGCACTCAGTGCAGCTTGTGTGTGTTGCACAAGGTGTACCTATGGAAACTGCTGACTCCAACAACCAGTTAACATTCTCACCAGCTGGATGAGCTGCACCAAAATCAAAAGATGCACAGCAATGTGCTAGCTTCCTGGTGAAAGGCCCTGGAATTGGTGTTGACTAATCAAAAATTGGCTCTAGTTGTGGACGATACTGGTGATTCCATGGCTGTGGTGCCATATAACCTTTGCAACTAAGGTATTATTATTATTATTATTATTATTATTACCAATAGTAGTAGTGGTAGTAGCAGTAGTTGTATTATTGTAATGTTCAAAATCGTTTTTCAACATTGAATCTAAGAAAATACACAGTGAACCATTAAAGAATGAGTTAACCCATCTCAGGAAAAACTCTAACGTGGTTGAAAATAACACAGTTGAGTTTTTGAGCATAGATCTTTGAAACAAAAAGTTTCAACACAAATGTTAACTGACATCCACACTAAGGACATAAGGACATTAAGAACATTGTCAATATCACAATATCATTTAAATTGAAGAAAAAAAGGAAGAACAAATGTTCTCATGATCTTTAGGAAATTTGAATGATGTAATGTCTTGCGACCGCGACCCAGAAGGATAAGCAGTTTAGATGATGTGTGTGTGTGTGTGTGTGTGTGTGTGTGTGTGTAATGTCTTGCAGAAATTGTGACTAGGAATATTTCAGATATTTCATTAGGGTGAATATGTTCAGGCCGAGTTACAAGCCTAGTATTTCACTCTCTACACTGCATAGAAACATCAAAAGATTCAATGAGTCCATGTCTGTGCATAAAGGGCAAAGTCGAAGACCTCAACTAAATGCCTTTGACCCTCAGCCCATCACATGGCACTGCGTTAAAACTGACATGCTTCTGTGATGGATATGACCACATGGGCTCAGGAACACTTTGACAAGCCATTGTCAATAAACACCATCTGTCGCTGCATCCACAAATGCAAGTTAAGACTGTAGAAACCACATGTCATCAGCGTCCAGAAGAACTGATAACTCCTCCGGGCTCAAGCTCATCCAAAATGGGCTGGTGCATAATGTAGAAGTGTATTGTGGTCTGACAAGTGAACCCTTCAGATTGTTTATGGAAATAATGGAAGTCAAGTTTACCTGGACTGGACAAAGAAGAAAAGAACTAAAAGATTGTTGCCAGCATAAAGTTAAAAAGCCAGGGTCTGTCATGGTATTGGGCGGTGTAAGAAGGTAACTTGCACATTTTTGATGGCATGCTTAACACTGAATACATTTTGGAGGAACAAATGCTGCCTTCTAGATTACATCTCTTTATTAGTTCAACATGACTGTGTCAAGCCACATTCTGCACATGTTGCAACAGCATGGCTGCATAATCAC